TGATGGCTGTGGAAGGCATGCTAACCTGGAAGCTATTTCAAATGCTTAGCCAGTTGCAAAGGGAAGTCTAGGAGAGTGTCCTCCAAGGAAGTCTCACTGGGGAAACAAACCGCTCTTAGGGTGGCCGTGCCCCACAGGAGGTGGTAACACAGTGAACTCAGCAGCTTCTGTGCAGCTCTTTGTCTTGCAATGAGTCTGTTTTAAGTGTGCGCGTCCTTCGCATAGACCATGGCTTTCGCACTGGGCTTTCACGGGATTTCTGAGTGTGGGCATGCGTGTGTCTCTATATCTGAATGCGGGTTATACACCTTTTATTGGCTCCTTTTCTTGTTTGGTACTTCTGTCATATTCAGATTTATTTTTATTTTATCATCTTTCCTCAGATGGCTGCTTGTTTTCAACAAGAGACAGAAGAATGTGGGTCTGGATGGGAGAGGGGATGGGGATGGATTGGGAGGAGGGGAAACTGTAATCAGAATATATTACATGAAAAAATTAATAAAAGTAAAAAAAAACCTCATAAAATATTCAAAATCCCCTTTCAAACTCTCCCAACATATTTATAGAGTGCCCTCCAGAAGTCCATGTTAACTCAGCAAAAGGCCACATGCCACTTTTAGATGTTCTAGAATTTTCCCTCTAAAATTCAGGCCATAAGCTCCTCCAGGCACAGGGAGCTACCCTCTCATCTTCCCAGCCCATTCTCCCAAGCTGTTCTCCCCCCTCCCGGAACCCTGGGAAAGTCAGGTGCTCCTACAAGCTTTGCCGGGGTTAGAGCTTCCTCCGTCCCTGCATGAGCATGGGGTTTTTCTCCAGCCCTGCATGATCGAGGGATCACACCCTCTTCCCCCCACGGGCATCGGGCACTGTGGTGTGCCTTACCATGAGCTGCTCCCAGCAGGAGAAGCAGGATTGTCCAGAGGACCAGCATCTGAAACAGTCAATGACATCATACATACTCAGCCTGGGTCCACAGGCAAGTCTCTGGGGATTCAGGGCTATTTGCCTCACCTCTGCTTTTTGGCTGGTGGAGGAGCAGACCAAAGGTGGCTGATGTGGTCCGAGGAGCCAGGTGCTTGCTCCCCTGAGACCCAGCAGGACCTTTTTATTCTACAGCCTTATCTTCCAGACTCCAGTGCAAGCAAACAGTGAGTGATGAGAACAGGAGCTACGTGAACTTTATCCTTTAATCTGTACGTTAAATCCGTCCTTCAACCTGTATTTACACATGACAGGCTTGGGATGGCAGGCCGATCTTCCCACAAGCCTGGGAAGATGAAGGCATGCTTGACTGGAAGGTGCAGGACAGCTTCTGGCCTTCTGTTATGTGTTTGTGAGAATCCCAGGAGCCAAGTGGGCTTTGCTTTTCTGATTCAGTTTCATCACTGAGCAGTGTGCAGGGCTCAGGCAGCACACAGCTGCACTGAGATGGGAAGAATGTGAGTTCAAGGCCTTTCTGGAATGCACAAGAGCAGCTTAGTGAGGTTCTGTCTCAAGAGAAAATGAAACATTTTTTAAAGAGGTCCAGTTGTAGCTCAAAGGTGACGCTTTCTTGGCACATGTAAGACCTTGGTTTCTATTTCCAACATGAACCCCACCCTTCTAAAAAAAAAAAAAAAAAAAAAAAAAAAAAAAAAAAAAAAAAAAAAAAGCAGCAGCAAGCCCTGCTAGCAAGGGGCAGTCTCTCTCGTGTATACTGTGTATACCAGACGGGACTTTCCTGGAAGAATGGAAAGTAAAGGAAAAGGAGAATTTCCTCTCTAAAGCGCCCTCCCCTTGCAGACTAGAAACATCCAGGCACAAGAGCCTTGGAGACAAATTCGAGGCTCCTTCAGGAACCCTCCACCGTCTAGAGCCCGTTAACCCATTCCTGCCGCTGCGCGGGAAGCAGTGCGAAGCAGCGCTTAGAGCAGCTGCAGTGCTGTCACTGTAGCCAACAGTGGGGGTTCAGGAGCCCCAGCCCCACCAGCAGGCCGGAGCATGTCAGCCCTGTTCTCCCAGGTCCTCGAAAGGAGGCACAGCTGCAGACAGACAGGAGTGACCCTCAGATCTGGGCTCCTGTAAGCAGCCGGCCAGTTCACAGGAGACAGATAAGCCCTCACCCAGCCTGTGCTCTGCAAGCCCCAGACTCACTCCCGAGTTAAACACGTTTCCGTGTCAAGTTCATACACCAAAATAGCCTAAGAACTGGGGTAAAGGCCAAAGGGCCCTCCTGTTAAGAAGCAGGAAGGCCACCTCCCCCAGGGTGCTGAAGGGCAGCAGCCAGGCTGCGGAAGTACCCACTTGGCAGCATAACTGCTTACCATGAAGCCCTGGGCTCTACCTTGGCACCCTACACATGGGACACTGTAGAGCACACCAACCCTGCGCTGGAGAGGTGGAGACAGGAGGTCAGAAGTTAGAAGTCCTCCATGACTGCCCAGTGGGTGAGGCCAGCCTGGGCTGCGCCAGATCTGGTCAAAAGAAAACAGAAACAGCAGCTTCGGCCACTGTGGCTCAAGTGCAGCCAGTGCCACAGATGGCCTCATATGAGCCTGACAGCACGCATAGTGAGCACGACTTCCTGTTAGCCTCCCTCTGCAGATGGAGAAACTGAGGCACAAAGAGATAAATTGCCCAGCTAATGAGTAAAGATGCAAACCCGTTTATCATGTTTTGATTTTTTTCCTCTTTTTGCCTGTAATTTTGGGGTCAAATATAAGAAATCTTTGGATAAATGTCATGAGGTTCTTCCTATAAAAGTCAGGAAACACTTCTCATATGTTCTCCACTAGAACTGTTGTGGTTTCAGTTCTTAACTTGGGATGAGGATCCATTTTGTTCATTGTTACACTGGAGGGGAAGCTTTGAAGTATCTTCTCTGTGTGGACAAACTTCCCAGAGACAATCCAGGACAAGTTATTAAAGAGAATTTTCATTTTCCCAGTAGATGCTTTTGGCTCCCTGTCAGAAACACTAGCAAGCTGCAAGTCCACAGCATCTATGACTCTCTTCCATTGCGTTGGTCACATGTATGCCAACAGTATGGAGAGTCTAGAGGGGCTGCTGCAAGATAACCGGTTTCTCCCTTATCTTTAACTCTTGACCCCCCCTCCACCGTGTGTGGGTTTGTGTAGATTTGAGGGAAGAGGACAGAGTGGCACAGCAGCCTCAGGGGAGCCACGGTGCTTTAGACAGAGGGAGAAGCAAACATTCGCCTGCAGCTAAGGGTCAAGCTCAGTAGGGCAAGCTCGAGCCTGTCCCGAGGCCCCGACCGCGGACTCTGAGGTGGGGCCCTGCCTTAGTGTGTTGCCTCACTGCCATCTGCACTGAGCAAACACGGAACATGTTGCAGGAACATGACTTCGGTTATGGTTTGTTACGGTCTGTGGGGGCCACACAGGGGGCTATTCCAGGACTGCGCCCTCCCATAAAATTCGTTTAACTCTATCAACACCCACTGTTAGAGCCAAGCAGGAGAAAGTTATACCTGCTACATGCCACGTAATCAAAGCCAACAGTGAAATGGGCCAATCATCTATCCAATAAAACAGGAGAGTCTAGTCAACCCAAGGTCCCCTCTCAGCCTCACAGGGAAGTAACTCTGAAGAGACCAATCCACCAATCTCTGGTTTGCTTTGTTAGCGCTTTTCTGTCTGTAAAGCAAACTCATCAGATCAGGATCTACGAATGCACTGAAATATTGCATCTGAATTCTGTTTTATCAGTGTCAGTTCATGGCATATAGTCATGGAAATGATATACCCTCCTCCTCACACTTCTTCCTAAGGATTTCTACTCCCTTTTCACACTCTCTCCCAAATTTAGAGTCTGCATATGAGAGAGCACTCCCAGGATTTGTCTTTCTGCTTCTGGCTCGTTCCATGTAACACAATCATCTTCATTGCAGGAACTCTTCCCTCGTGTCTGGTTGGGTACAGGTACCTCATGTTCCTTATCCGCCAGTTGATGGTCGGATATGCAAGTTGCACCCTCAGCTCTTGTGAGCAGTGTCGGCTCAGCCCGGGTACAGGCTATCTCTGGCATGTAGGTGAAGAATCCATTGTGCACTTAGCAAGGTCGTATGTGTTTCTGTCTTTAGAGTGTGGAGCAAGCTCCCCTCTCATTTTTATAGTGGCTACACTAGCTTACTCTCCCGCCAGTAGTGTGCAAGGGTTTCTTCCTCACACCCTTCTCATGATTTGTCTTTTGTTTCCTTCATGCTAGCCATTCTGACTGAGGCAATTTAAAAAACAACATTAAGATATATTTAAACTTTACACGTGTGGGTGTTTGCCTGTGTGCGCTCCTCGTGTCTATACCCGTGAGGGTCCTCTGTTCCTGCATTCTTCGTCACTGGGTGGCATGTAGATTTTTGTGGCAGTGCCATGCTGCCACTATGGAGTCACTATGGCTCCAGAGTGTAGTTTGAGGTCATCAGCTGTTTAGAATTACTTTGGAAATGTTTTTGTGTTTCTACATGAATGTTAGGATTATTTTTGTATTTCCTGAAGAATGTCACTGGAATTTTGAGGGAATTGAGTTGATTTGGAAGACTGCTTTAGACAATGCAGCCATTTCTTACACTGAGTCTACAAATCCATGAGCAGGAGAGATCTTTCTGTTGTTTCGTGTCTTTCTCAGTTTCCTTCTTCAGGGTATATTCTTTAATTGCATGTACGTACATGTGTGCGTGTATGTGTGTGTGCCCATGTGTGCGTGTGTGACAGCACTCCTATGGAGGTCAGAGGTAACTTGCAGGAATTATTTCTCTCTTACCATGCAGGTTCCTGAGATCAAACTCAGACAGTCAGGCTCGGTGGCAAGGAACTCCACCCACCGAGCCGTCTCGCCTGCCCTTCAAGGTGTTAAAGTTTTCATTTTAAATATCTTTCATCTTCTTGTTTAGGTTTGTTCCTACGTATTTCAGTATTCTTGAAGCAGTTGTGAATGGGGTCTTTTCTCCCTGATTTCTTTCTCGGCAAGTTCATTGTTGATATGTTGAAAAACGGCTGATTTTCCGTAAGTTGGATATTCACCCTGATATTTTCATAAAATATGTATCAGGCTTAAGAACTTTTTGGTAGAATTACCAGGGTCTTTTAACCACAGAATCATGTTGCCACAAACAGTGGTTCTTTGACTTCTTCCTCTTTAACATTTGTTTGTCTCTTGTCATATGGCTCTAGCTAAGACTGTGAGCACTATACTGAATATCAGCAATGTGAGTGGGCAGACAGGGTGGAAGGCCAGACTTTCAGGTCTTCAGGCCAGCACAAAGCTGCGTAGAGTGCTGTATGCAGCCTTCATGAGCTAAGATAAGCTCTTTCTGGTTCTAGCTTCTTGTGGACTTTCATCAGATACTGAACTGCCTCAAATTCCTCCCTGTATGTACTGACATGGCTCATGTGATTTATATCCTTAAGTCTACATGTGCTGCATTTATTTATCTTCATATATTGAACCAAATGTATATATAATTATATATATTACCTAGGATGAAATCATCTTGGTTATGAATCACATCTTCTTTTAATGTTTCTATCTACCTACCTATCTACCTACCTATCTGTATTTCTGGAATGGGGTGTCACTGTGTTTTCACACTGGTCTTGAACTCTGGTAACCCTCCTGCCTCAGCCTTCTGAACGGCAGAATTATAACCCTATGCCACAGTGTCAGACGTTAATGTGTTCTTGAATCTGATTTGAAAGAAGCTTATTGGCTTTGCACATTTTCATAAGTGATGTTATTCTCTAGTTTTCTATTTTTCTGTGCTCTTTATCTGGTTTTGGTATTAGGGTCAGAGTGACTTTATCCATGAGCTTCACAGTTTTCCTCCCCTTTCTACTTTGTTGAACAGTATGAGGCATGTTGGTGTCAGCTTGTGGGGAGGAAGGCCCACCTTTAACTGGGGAGCTCTTGGCAGCTGTTAGCTGTGGGAAGCAGGAGAGTTAGTTTTGTTTTCTGGTATGGTCCTTGGTAGGTCAAACACACCTCAGTGGATGGCCACACCCCAAGAGCATATAGCCAGAGCTAGTTGGGTTAGACGAATACAAAAAGTTAGGTGGGTGTGGCCTTGGCGGCAGATCTGAGAAGAGTTGGGAGAGGGGTGTTTC